CTTTATAAACATAGGGGACAAGTTGTTCAGAAGAGGTGTGAGGTAACTCTCAGTTCAACAGTTAATTATTTTTTTTAAATGGCTTATAAATAGTTATTTGTAGTACAACAGGCAATGGTCTTCAAGATCTATATATAATAGCAATCTAATAAATACTATTTACACATCTGAACGGTTGCGTCATTTTTCGTTGAATTATTTATGGTTATATTTGTTTAATTACAGTTGTATCTTTTCAGTTTACAGTTATATCTTTATAGTTGCATTTATTCATTTAAAGTTACGTCTTTCCATTATATAATTTCATTGCATTTTTTTGTATAGTTAGTAATACTACCAAGTTTTTTTTACATCAACCATTAGACTACATATCAAATTGGTTTTATTAACCAAAATAACAACCTCAATAAATGCATTTTGTACTTCTGAACGGTTGTATCTCTTTATCGTAACTTTCCGTTAAAATATATTTTTTCGGGTGTGTTTTTTATCGCAACTCTTCATTAAAATATTGACGGGTTTTTTTCGGTTGTATCTTTTTATTGCAACTTTCCGTTAAAATATTGGTTGTTACTTTATTCGTTTGTGTCTTTTTATCGCAGCTTTCCGTTAAAATATCGATGGTTATTTTTTCTCGGTTGGGTCTTTTTATTGCAACTTTCCGTTAAAATGTTGACGGTTATTTTTTCTCGGTTGTGTCTTTTTATCGCAACTCTTCGTTAAAATATTGACGGTTAATTTTTTAGTTGACGGTTATTTTTCGGTTGTGTCTTTTTCTCGCAACTTTTTGTTAAAATATTAACGGTTACTTTTTTCGTTGACGGTAATTTTTTTAGTTGTGTTTTTTTCTCGCAACTTTCCATTAAAATATTGACGGTTACTTTTTTCGTTTCTGTTTTTTATCATAACTTTTTGTTAAAATATTGACGATATTTTTTTTCTCGAGTGTGTTTTTTTTTCTGCTAAAATATTGACGGTTATTTTTTTCTCGGTTGTGTCTTTTTATCGCAATTTTTTGCTAAAATATTGACGGTTACTTTTTTCGTTGACAGTTATTTTTTCGGTTATGTCTATTTAGCTTAACTTTCCGTTAAAATATTGACGGTCATTTTTTTGTTTGTGTTTTTCTATCGCAACTTTCCGTTAAAAGTTTGACGGTTATTTTTTCTCGGTTGTGTCTTTTTATCGCAACTCTTTGTTAAAATATTGACGGTTCTTATTTTCGTTGACGATTATTTTTTTGGTTGTGTCTTTTTATCGCAACTTTCCGTTAAAATATTAACATTACTTTTCTCGTTTGTGTCTTTTTATTGCAACTTTCCGTTAAAATATCGACGGTTATTTTTTCTCGGTTATGTCTTTTTATCGCAACTCTTCGTTAAAATATTGACGGTTACTTTTTGTGTTGACGGTTATTTTTCTGGTTGTGTTTTTATATATTTTTGGTTTTGATCAGCTAGAATTTTTCCTCTCTATATTATAACTCTTCGTTAGTTATTTTGTCACTTATAAATAATTTTATATTCACAAAAAATGTTTCAAAAGTGTTTTTTAATCATAATTTTTTTTTACATTTTTATTCATAAATTTTTTTTTAATATCTTTAGAAAATATTTACGATATAACTTTAAGACATAGTTAATTTTATATAATAATTCAATTATTTGAATATATTATAATAATAATTTAATATATAAACGTAATAAAATATATTTGTTGAAAGTGAGTTCCCCGCAATATCGCGGGGTTCATAACCTAGTAAATCAAATATGATAAATAATTAATCAATGGTAGAGTCGAGAATATGAAATTATGGAGCCCCGTTTGAAAACTTCTTTTTTTTGGCCCATGAATTAGTAAGTTAATGGTCTGATCTCCACCACAAATAATACATACGTGCGTTGAAAGATCACGTGAAAGCAAGTAATGAATGGTATATACGTGCGTGAATTGGTAAAATTGGTGTAGGTTTAGGTTATACTTTAGATATGGTGTACGATTAAGAGGGGACCAAAATCTGTGCTTTTATAATATCCATATCTTTCTTGCAACCCCTTTTTCTAGGGCATTTATATAATTGTATTGCATAAAACTAACTAATCCAGTGTGCGTAATCAAGATTGATCAAGACTTTGAATTGATGTCATTCACTAAGACACTGACGCATGACCTATACGATCCGAGATCTTTGCTCAAGTCACCTTGGGCCTCTTTGATATTCTAAAATCAAAAATCTGTAACGAGACATTGGGTTTCCAAGAATTGCAAATGAAAACTGAAAGAAAAATATGGCAAAAGAAACTGAAATTGCGATCAAGTACGGTGGTACAATTGAAAGTTTTATTTTAATAAAAAGAACACTGACCAAATTTTAAATTTTTTTTTTATGTTAAGTTGGCTAAAATTAATTGAAAATTGCAAATCGTGATGAAATTTAATTCGAATGTAGTTTACAAAAACAAAATACAATGTTCCATCCATTACATATCACAATGCATGGAAGAATTTAGTTTATATCACCATGCTCCATGCATGATTTTCTTATAAGTGTAACATGTGTGTTTTATTTGGGATGTTAGCTATATCATATATATATATATATATATATATATATATATATGACTTTAATTTACGTAGCTACAAACATATTTTGTAACTATTAGCGATCGAAGTTAGAAAGCACACAAAAAAAAAAAAAATTATATATTAGCGATCGATATCACATTATATAACATGATCGCGTTCGTGTGAAAAAAGTCAAACATAAGATATTGTTTATATTGTCATTGATAGAGAGAGACGCATTGTGCAGAGAAAAAACCCATGCGTTTAGAAGAGAGGCGACAATTCTGGTATCAACTTTAATGTCGTACCATTGCATGTAACCTACTTTCGTAGCTTTGCCCCGTCATTTTTGCCTCCATTTTCTTCTTGTTTTTTCCCAGACATTTCAAGTTTTCAACTCAAGACCTTAGTTATAATTTCATTTCATCTAAATGTAAACAAACTATTATGGGGAACTATGGACCGTTATGTTTCGGTCAAGCTCACATTTACTTCTTTTTAACAGATTTTTTTTTTGTTGTGACCCAAAATATTAAAATAATACTTACACAAATTACATAAAATTCTTCTTTAACTAAATGCCTCTTGAGCATAGTAGTTAATATTTTTGAGGTATTTATAACCCCCCGTTACATAGCACATTTTTTTTTTCAATTCAATTTTTAAAAAAATATGTGAATAAATTGCAACTCCCGAATTCTCAATTTTATAAAAGTTTATACAAAATCTATATCATCGTAGTCAATAGTCTTCACCACCCTATATATTTCAAAGCTATGATAATGCTTATCAATTCTTTGTTTGGCTTTGAAAGACGGGAGCATGCATATCAAAATAGAAAGAGAGGATTCCTCTTCTTAACAGCTTGCTCGTTTTCTCCATCTGACAAACTGACCGTCCATATATGTCCGCTTAAAATATTAGTCTGATTTCTACGAATTAAAAATCTAGGCAAATTATTCAAACTACTTCATGAATCTTCTGTTGTATGTACCACCGTCTATCCTCTTTGTGTTGCTTTTTATGAGATTGGCTTTGAGTACATGAAGTTTTGGCCCTTTTCTTGCCACAAAATTTAAGGCTCCGATCCTATCGTTTCAAAAAAGGTTCAAGTCTTCCACAAAATTTTTCACATTTTCTGTAAATGATTCCATTCATGCAAACTGAGATCTGTGGTATTCATTAATTCCACAAGGAATTCACGACCTCTCTTTCTTCAACATCTACTGTTCGGCTGTTCCTAGACTGTCTTGTTGAGAAAAGTTTTCTCAGAAAACATAGTTTTATTTATTTTTGCTTAGAGGCTCACATATTTATTCCAATCTGCATACTTTTTTCACGGCACAACCTAAATGAAAAACATTTAAATGCAGTTATAAATGATTGCAAATCGTTATCTAACAAAGGAAAATATTTAGACATTCCTAATAGACTTCTACGATTGATCTTAGGCGACATATGGCAATAATTACATGATAGAAAAAAATAACGTACGATGATATTACTTTAATCGGTTAAAAAAACTCTACCGACATTAATTGATCAAGAATGTGAAAGAGATTTAGGATTATTTTGATGTAAATGCGAAATTAGTGGCCGAGATTAATTTCCGTAAACGCAAAGGGTCATTAGTCACAATCGAGCTACAGTGCGAAAGCCCTAAAGAGGCTACACCATGAAGAAAGAGCCCTAGTTGAGACAAATCCACGTGACTTTGGTTTACAGATTAAAAAATAAAAATAAAGCAAAACCCTAAATAAGCAAATCGACCATAATCTCGTAAAAAGAACAGACAAAACACAACCTCATGTAGAAGGAACAATTTCTGAGCGCCGCCAGTGTTATTAATTCAGAATCATAATTTCACGATTTTCAACACTCTCCTTTCAACTCCAACATCATAATTTTCCCATCCACAAACTACTGTGTTAAATCATTTTTAACTCTATTTACTTATTATTGTTACTGTAATTAATTATTTCCAGAAACATTATTAAAGAAAAGTCCGTAAAGATTAAAGAATAACATGACCAACGAAAATAGGTGAAAACGATGATCCTTGAATTTGTTCGAAAATAAATGAAATCAATAATTTTATATTTTTAATTTATTGTTCCAAACTTATTAGATTTCAAGCATGGAAGGTCTAAAAAACTTCAAGAAAGTTTTCTGAAAGATTCATGTTTTTCACTAAAAACAAAAGAATAAATCGACCTTTAATTAACAGTATCAAAAGACCTTTAAACTCTGACAATAAGAAAGAATGGTGCAAGGGTTAAGATAAAAATAGTAAATAATAATTATGATTTTGTTACTTGTCAAAAAGACATGTATCTTATTACTCTGCTTTTATGTAAGTCCGTATAAAAGGAAAAAAACGAGACATATAAGTTCGAACGTGGAACATGAACTTCGTTAAACGTACTTTTGCTTTCTGCATCTCTCATAGAGTCAGTCACAAGTCAAAAAGATGCAAGTCCATTTATTTTATTTTATATCGGGTCAGGTCACTTTTAAATTAAAAACAATAAAATGTGTGTTTTTCCTATAAATACGTAATCAGCTACCATCACATTCAGGTGCCTCAAAACCCTAAGAGAATCACAGAACAGAAAGAAAATATTATTAGCATAAAAAAGATCTCCCTTAGGTCAACCATGGAAGAAGCAATTATGAGACTCGAAGGTGCCGAGCACAGAGAAACCAACAACCATTCTCTAAAGAGAAAGCCATCAAGGCCTTCCTTGACAGCTCCTGGCTCTCCCGGAGGAGTAACTACCGCAAAAGCTGCCTCTGGCGCCGGCGCTTCCGGTGGCTCTACCATAAGGTACCGAGGCGTGAGGCGTAGGCCATGGGGTCGTTACGCAGCTGAAATACGGGACCCATTGTCCAAGGAGAGACGATGGCTCGGAACATTTGACACGGCCGAGGAAGCAGCTTGCGCATACGACTGCGCCGCTCGAGCCATGCGTGGTCTTAAAGCTCGAACCAACTTCGTCTACCCAATGCCTTCTCTCGACTCTTATCACCATCGTATTTTCTCTTCTCCTCCAATGAATATGTTCCTTCTACGAGACGTTTTAAACTCTCAGTCTCTTTCTCCGTTAACCACTTTCGCTTACCCGCCTTGTAATCTTCCTAATGTAAACGACGTCGTTCACGAGTCCTTCACTAACGTTAACGATGTCTCCGAAGATCTCTCGCCTAAAGCTAAGAGGTCAAGTACCATTGAGAACGAGAGCCTGATCTCAAATATCTTTGAACCAGAACCAGCTGGTTCTGGTCTTCTCCAAGAAATTGTTCAAGGCTTCTTACCAAAACCTATCTCTCAACATGATTCTATAGCTCCAAAGAGTAACCAACCGTCGGTTGGTGTTTTCCCGACCATGCCAGAGACCGGTTTTCAGACAAATGTTCGTTTACCTGACTTCAATGTCGAAGGAAACGGATTCGGTCAGGTGAAATATCATGGAGAGTTGGGTTGGGCTGATCATGAGAGAGAGTTTGATTCAGCTAAGATGCAGCAGAACGGAAATGGTGGAATGTTTTATCAGTATTGCTTTCATGATTATTAGAACATTGTTGTTCTTCTACTTTTTACGTGCTTATCACTTCACTGTTTCTTTAGGGTTGTAAGAAATGAGGTTAGGGGTAACTAACTCAAAATCTTTTGTCTTTTGTTTCTTCGTCTAGTTGTGTGATCAATTTATCTCTCTGTTTTAGCAAAGAACAATTTTTATCTGAGTATGAGCGAAGTTAATTAATGGTGTATGACATATGTCGGTTATGAGCAAAGGTAATAATAAAAATAAAGTAAAAAATAGTCGAGGGGCTGGGGATGAAGACAACACCAAAAGTACAAAACTATATATCTTGAAAAATTAGATTTTTTTCTAGTAAGTTGACTTCAGGATCATAAAGACAGCCTTTGTCCTCTTGCTTTTTCTTCTTTCCCTTTTTCCTCTCAGATCACCGGAAGGGCATATTTTATATTTTATGTTCACAAAATCCTAATACCCGTAAAAGAATTTGCATCAATGCATGTTTAGTAATATGTTGCATGTGATCTTCTAATGAAGGCTCCCAACAAGGGGACTAATTAACAAAGATCAATCAACAAAAACAACCATATCCCAATTATGATATTTAGGGGAACTCTTAAGTATCCCATAGATCTTTTAGATATTTGAATTTCTAGTGGATGTGATATGGAATGATGTTGTGACTGTCTTTGGTTGTAGATGATCACATCAGTCGTTGCAATTAAGTTTCTTGACAAATGTGATTTTATAGAGTTTGACTCATGATAAGCATAAAATGAGCCTTATGAATGATGAGGGGGTAGAATAAAGAGAAATAAATCAATTTTCAATACAAAAAAGTTTTATGTAAAAATATATGATCAAATTATTCAGTTATCAATATATTTTTTTTTCTTCAATCAGTTATCGATTTAAAATAAAATCATAACACTTATTTGAACATGAAATTTTATCTTTATTGAAAGTTTTGAAGAATTAACAGAAATTTAATGTTCCTCATATATTATTTTCCCTATGTCATGGTAACCATTTAGAGCTATACTTTTTTTTTTTTTTGATAAACCTTATCGGCTATCCGGTCGGTCCCAGTAAGAACGCACCGAAGTGCTACATAGTAGACTGATTCACCGTGTTAACGGTTAGGCCCTTACGGGCTACCACTCTGCCTATCCCGGGTTTGGAATGCCTTCCGACTAAGTGGCAGGGGGTAGTCAGGCCGCATGCATTTCTGGCTACCAGGTAAACCAATTGGGCCAAAGCCCAACTGACAGACTTCCCAAACAAATGTGTTTTTGTTTCCAGGGAAAATCGAACTCAGGTTTGGGAGTTTCACCCTTTCCCAAAGCTTCATCTGCTACTAGACCACGGATGCTTGGGCGAGCTATACTTTATCCCATTTATATTCAATGCATTGTATATAATAAAGGTTTTTTTTGCATTGCACATATTAAAGGTCAGTACAAAATAAATGATATCTCTGTAAACAGCATTTATAAAAGTGTATAATTGATGAATGATGAAAGTCATGATCATGAACCATTTGGGGATAGGAGTAGATGAAACATTTGAAATTAAAGTTTAGGATACAGTTGGTCCTTTATGGACTCCATCATCATTCCCGTGATGACCATACAAAAAGAAAAAGATTTGTTCAGTCTTAAAGCTTCTTCAAATCTTATATTAATTATATACACACAGTGAGGTATACCTCTTCATTCATCATTGATTCCCCTTCTTCTATTTCATATTCAAATTATGAACGACAAAGGAATCATGGAAACTGAAGCTTCCATAGCGGCGATGGGCCTTGGCGGACTGCCTCGTCAGACCAGCATCACTAAGAACAACTGCATTTGCTCACCGACCACTCACCCGGGGTCATTCAGGTGCAAGCTTCACCGGACTCCTTCGCTGCAGCGTACCAAAAGCGTTGAGACTAACATACTTCAAAATCTTGTGAGCAAGCCAGATGATTCTTCTAGCACCGGAGATGAAGCAGCTAAATAGTCACTAGGAAACAAGGTAGTACCGTAGTAGTTTCTATTCTCCTTTTGTCTCTACCTACGTCTTGTGGTTTCGTACTTTCTTTCATTTGAAGTGTGTGTAACATTTAAATTAATTTTCTTCTAATCTCTAATAAATTTATTGATAAAAGTTAAGTTTCCAACTTATCAATTTTGTTACCATCTTTCAAATGTTAAGTTTTGTCAGAAAATGATTTTCTTTTTCTTGTACTTATACTTGCACCTCAAGATGTTGGCCTTTAAGGTGTTTCAAAGGGCATTATGATCAGATTAATTTTAAATACAAGTAGAGACGGAATAGTGCTACAATAGCAAATAAATGAAATTGTTTTCTTTCAGAAGATCTACAAGAACTGCAGAAACTATTGCAAGTTGTTCCCAAAATATTTAATTTATTTGAAGTTTTTTTTTTTGGTATCATAATTTGTTTGAAGTTGCAAAACAAAGATGTTCCCAAAAAGCCTGAGAAAGAAGACGAAGTAGCTGATCGGATGTATGAATGTGTGAGGTTGCTACAGGGTTGGTCCAACGTTTCCTAAATTTTAAGCGAAATGTTAATTTTGATCTTTAAAATAAATAAATCTCAAAATAATAGTACATAAAAATAAAATAAAAATGTCGAAACTTCATGAAAGCAACCTTTTATTATAAAACACTCTGATTCTTATCACAAAGGAAAAAAAAAAACATTTTGTGGATGGCAAGAATTTTGATAATTTGATTGGTATTATTTTTGACTAGAAAATATTTGAAGTTGGCAACTTTTAAATTTGAGACTCTCATCACATGCACGGGCTTCTCTCACCTATGTTATGGGCCGGGCCAGGCCAGGCCAGGTCAACTTAGCTGACACATAACCTGCATGATCACTTTTTGACTAAGCAATAAGACGACCGACGAAGAGAACCACGTTTTTCCTACGTTCTCCATTAAAGCTTGCGCATTAGATACATCATACATCATTATTAAGGCATCTAATTCGATCAAGCTATGACGAATAACTAACAGTAACTACCAAATTTAACATTTGTCGTTTGTACTCTTGGGGCATATACTTAGAAAATTATAAACCGTTGGCCCACTTCAAGAATTCGAAGTTGTTAATGTTTTCGACCAATCAATCTTGCTTCTTGTTAAAGCTAATCTCTCACACGCTATATTTCGTATTAGATCCTTCTTACCTATCATTAGACCAAACAAATCTCTAGACATGTGCATAGAATATATTAAAATCGGCCAAACCTCTAGGAGTATATTTATATATTTGCTCGGAAAAGACATAAAGAAAAAAGGGAATCGGATTCACGCCAATCTTTTATGTTGACTACAACCTCATAACATCTCTTATATAAAGATATACCTCCGATAGTTTTCAAAGATATCGCTAAGAAAACAACACTCCAAATAAGAAAGAGCTAGTTTAAGAATGGTACTTGGAAACTCCTCCAGTTCTGGTCACAAATCTCATCATCATCACCATAATCATCATCATCGGGACTCGATGAAGGAGTTCCGACCTGTATTTGAAGCCGAAGAACCGATCCAGGGCTTCGAGTATGCAGATATGAGGAGGTCGAAGAGCGAGAATATGGGCACGAGAGAGGTTGCAAAAGCAGAGGATGTTGACAAAGAAGCTGAGCAATTCATCAAGTTTGAGCATACGAAGTTCAGTAAGTGGATGACTAAGAGCTCCTAGTTTATGTGGACGAAGAATAAGAAATAATAAGTGACATACCATAATATATATATATATATATATATATAGATTGTATTAAATGATTTGTGTTCTTCTTCTTCTTCTCCTGGTTTTAATTTTGGTCTTGGTTATGTAACAAAAATGGGTGTCGTTTCCTTTGCCTAGAAAGGTGCATGGAAATAAAGTCTATACAAATAAATTGTATTAAATGATTTGTGTTCTTCCTGTATTTATTTTGGTTATGTAACAAAATGGGTGTTGTTTCCTTTGTCTAGAAAGGTGCATGGAAATAAAGACTATACAAATTAGTAATTTCATGAACTCTTGGATCTTTAGTACCACACAATTTGTTTTTCCGATAACATGCAAAATCTGGTTTGAAATCGAATTGTAATGTTTCACATTTAAATGCAAAATTGTCACACTAGTCATGAATACATGAAATAAAATGCAAGATATAACGAATATAATTCTTTCTAAAATGTTAAAATACAAGAGCTTTGAGAGTTGAAATATGATATTTCCATTATTAGAAAAGAAAAAAAAAAACCTTTTTCAACTCAAGAAAAAAGGGGAAAACACACACAACAATTTTAGTCCTTTATTATGAAAAAACCCCTTCTTCATACCAAAAAAAAGGGGAAAAAACACAAACACCAAAAAGGGTAAAATAGAGGATAGAGAATGTGGTATTTGCCTATAGCAAAGCAAAACAAAAGGAAAGTGTGAAACAAGATTCCACCACTAGAGAATGGACCGGCAAAGAGGACATGTGGTGTGGTTATTACCAAACCAGTTGTCTAGACAAGTCCTGTGGAAGAAATGCTTGCAAGAAACCAACTCACTCACTTCCTCTTCCTCTTTAAACCCACAAAGGCACACACAACACTCCACACCTCTCTCTTCTTCTTCTTCTTCTTCTTCTTCTTCTCCTCTGTTCTCATATAGAGACTTGAAGTGTGTAATCGAGATTCTTCTCCTCACGAAATCTTCTTCAGGCTCGTGTTCTATCTCCATGGAAGATTCAGTCTCGGATGCAACAATTTGAAAAACAGACCTCACCATGTTCTTCAACAGAGTAACTGAAACAACCGTGTTCATCACCAGAAGTGGTAGTACTCCTTCTGACGCTGTCGGAAAATGCGAAAGACCCATTTTTCAACTCAAGATTATATTCACAGAGATGGAAACTGAGAGTCTTTGAAAGTTTGAGACTTGAAAAATCCTTAGAAGAGAAGAAATAGAGAGAGTATAGCCGCCACTCATGTTCCGGTGCGCGATTGGGTTTATTAAGCAGCGGTGGTCTAAACACGTGTCACCAAGAGAGAGGTTATCTTTAGAGACTCATCTCTCTCAATTTGATTGTGACTTTAATAATAGGTTGGTTCGTCTTTTATAACGAAAACATTATAACATAAAAACAAAAACAAAAACAAAATCTCTGTTTTGTGTTTTTTTTTTTTCTGTGGTCTGTTTGTTGTTAGATCTTCTGACACGTATTGTGGTCAGCCAACCAAGTTGTGCGTTGTGGAGAGCTCCTTGTTCTCCCGAGGTCGATTCTTAATCGACACGTGGAAGACTCAAACTTTCACGATTGCATGCCACGTCACTTGTCCGGACATGCTGACACATGAAAAAATTGGACAAATCTTTGTCAAAGTCCACACACCTGTTCTGTTTCAGCTCCTCACAATCTTTTTGTGATTAAAAATCATTCACAATCCTGTTTCTATTATTCAATCTGCTTGTTGTGCGGATCAAAGAGAACGGAATCTTATAACCTATAGAGATCTATATGCAAATGTTGAGACACTATAGTATATATAGCACCTTGAAGTCTCCTGGCTAGAACTAGTATTGGTAAGGTCCCTATTGAGAGGTTGTTGAATTGGATGGGCTTTCGACTTGTAATGATTTGAAATAATCCTTTTCCGCGGCATCTACTCTGTTCTCGAACATTTTCCATTCCATTTGACATCTATCCCTCACCTGCAACACACACAAGTTTAAGTCCATTTGGTTACTTTCTTGTCAAGGAATATAAAAACCTAAGATAGCCCTAGGTCTTGTTATAGAGAACCCATGAAAGCTCTCCAAAACAAGACCAAGCTTCTTATTCAGATAAAGGCAAAGAGAAAACCAAGTTTTCTTACCCCTTGCCATGGTGCTTTCCCATTATCTTCTTTTCCCTATTTGCAAGAAAAGGAGAAAGAATGAGAATTTCATTGGTTTTTGGAGAGGAGAAAAGTGAAGAAGTTAAGTAACCTGGTTGCCAAGGGAAGGGATAAATTGATGAACGATCCACTGTGAGTCTACTATTCCTATATTCTCAAATGCAGGCTCCTTCATTTTCACATACAAAAATGGAAGCCTCTTCATTAATTGATCAAACATGTAAGAACATTTTTATAGACACTAAGCAACATGGTAATCTTTTGTGTACCTCAACACATCTTCTGAGTGCAAAGTCAAGACCCCAACCGTGAACCAAATCATTCTGTTTTCCGTTCATATACAATTAGGTGTTATTTAGGAAAGGATTACATGTATAAAGAGATGAAGGAGCCAAGAGATAACAAAGTAAGTGTAACCTGGATCATGTGCCAGACGCAGCGCCACGCATCTCTTGAGAATACAGGAGCCATTATCTCCACGAATCTGTGTTTTTAAAAGACACAACAAATTTGATATGGTTAAAATATGTTTGAAATTCGAGTTTGATAGAGAGATTTTTTGAAACATACGCAGCACATGGAGGCCGAGGAGGATGAGAGCACCAGTCGAGTTTTTCATCTGTTTCCCTGCTAAGATTCATGCCATATTCAGAACCTTTTTGTAATGCAACAAAATAATCTAGAGAGGACGTTATGAGTCATATATATACTTATGGACTTCACTATGTTCTCTTCTTTTGGTGATCTGCCAGTTAAACCCTCTCTCTGGGTCCAAACCAGGCTGCGAAATCTCAAGGCCGTGCTTCTTCACCATGTGTATGTATCTACAACAACAAACATAGTTAGAAATTTTTAATTAAGCTCATTAAAATGGAAGTGAGTAAGTAAAAGAAACTCACTCTTCTGCGTTAAAGTGATCGACTCCAAGATCTTCATCCCATATGAATATATAATCGTATCGTGCTACAATGTCCGGATGCAAGAATCTCTTTGCATACCACCTTAAATTCACAATATGAGAGAGTCAAGGAAGTCATATAACCAGAGGAGAAAAGGTGGTTTAGCAAAGATATTGGTACCATTTTGTCTGCCTTTTGACACTGATGTGTATTGCATTCTTCGACCACTCAAACTCATCGTTCCACGCACTTGTTATCCCATCGTAATGAAACAGAACAATTGTAAAGTTGTCTGAAAACTGTTTTTGAGTAGACAAAACAAAATGAGTTTACTATTAAGCAAAAAGAGAAAACAAAAAAAGGTATCAATCAACCTTGTTAACACAAGCATCTATATTGTGTCTCTGATTATAACCCACTGTAAATGTTGCTAGATATCTCGGTTGCTTCTTCAAATCCTGAGGAAACAGAGAAAAGAAAATTGAAGCTAATGTTCAATGATCACACATGAAAGATGTAATATCAAAGAATGAGGAAAAACCTCATCAGGGTTCCCCCATAATCTGCGCAAATACAAGTCCGATTCGGATGCAATAATACCGGGTGGTAATCTCTCAGCGCCTCGAGGATTTGAAGGTTCCCATATCTGCACCAAACATGCCTTAAGCTTTGGTTTTGTTCTTAAAACATGAAAAAGAGAGTGTAAATTTCTACATAAAACATGCCTTTGAGATATCAATGGCCTTGGGAGGAGTTGCAATTCCTGAATCTCTAAGTGAGATAGCAATGGAGCGAAGAAGGTTTCTGGGGAGACTCGTCTACACAAAACAAAAATGGTATATGCAACAAATTAAATGGAGGATAAAATCTAAGAAGTAGAAGAAAAGATTTGAAGAGAAACAAGAAGAATTAACCTCAGTGATCCATAAAGATGGAAAAGATAGTCCAACAAGAATGCCAAAAGCTATAGCAAACAATGCTGTTGTAAGAAGCTTCATGCTATCATCTGATGATCTCCTACTACTACTTGGGCTGTAACAACAATCATCACCAATCCGATTTTAGAGAGAACAATAAGAGAAACGAGATAAAGGGTTTTTACCTGCGTGACAAGATTCCCATAGTTAGGTTTTAATTACAACTTTTGATTATAAGCTCCAATTGTCATCAACACCATCTCACTCCTGTTTATTGATAAACAAACTGTCATTAATCTCTTGAGCTAAAACAAAACACGAATGATCTAATCAAAGACTCAATTTGCTTATCACCTAGGTTAAACAAAACAATGCTATACATTCACGTGTGATTAACCATAAATTTTCTAGACGACAAAACACGAAGGTGATAAAAAGAAAACTTAGATTTGACATTACAAAGTAGAACACCACGAAAATTTGAGACGAGAGAATGCGTTTCGATCAAACCAGTGATGTCTTTTCGGAGATCCTTATTCCTCCGGCGATCTCCAGTATTCAATAGCAGACGTGTGGAACTGAAAGCTGTTTCGTAAGCTCTATTTTTTCAATAAAAGATAAAAACAAAAAAAATTGATTTTGTTTTGATGAATTTTTTAGATTTTCTATGGTATGATTAGTGATTTGGCACACATGGAAAATGGAAACCAAAACGGGGATGTTGTTTGTATTTTTTTCCATCATATTTATAGAATTTTGTATTAATTGGCTTTTTGGGTACTTACTCATATGAACGAAAATATTACTCATGATGACTCCTCACCCACCACAAAGATGGAGATTAAGAAGTTATAAGCTTGAGGGTTTAATTTACATGGTTGAAGGGTTCAATAGTCAATGGCTATATATATAAATATCACCTCATTTTTGGAAACTATATATATCACATTTAATTTTTGAAACGTATATGGTAACTTATCTACCATTCTGCAACCTGGATTCTTTTCCATTCTAGACGTGGTCATTTGGGAAACTTGTGTAGAAAAATATAAATAAAAATTTAAATCTATAAATGATTTTTTTACTATTATAATAAACTACTGTATAAAAAACCTATAATATTAACTATTAAATGTCTTAAACTTTTTTTTTAATAAGAAATAGTTATTTATTATATATGGTGCTCTATTTTGAAAATTAAATAGTTATTTGTACGTTGGAAAAAAGTAAATAAGTTAAGAAGTTATGCAGTCAACCATAGCTAAGAAACTGAGAAACATTAAAATATGATTTTAGATTGGATAACTATTTAAGGTTTTCAACCTTTGGTGGTTCATCTTAAAAATAGGTGTTATTCGCTAAGTATACATTTTAGCTCACTGAATATGCTCTGAGGAGTGAGTTTTTAAAAGGCTACACGTACTTTTATCAAAAAAATATACAAGTACTTAAACTCGTAGAAGAGCAAGCAATACAATCTACATGGACCTCTCTGATTTTGTACAAAATTTTATGATCTTATATCAAATTAATAATGACGTTGACAAAAACAGAAAAAAAAGCCAGTTAGGCTAAGGACGTGTAAAACATCATTTGAGCCATAGCACTCTAAGATTTTGAGCAAAAAAGATTGTAAGTTTCATATTTTATTGATCACTGTTGGGTGTGGGAAACACCCTACTTTTCGCCAAGCCTCCAAATTAAACTTCCTTTACTCAAACATTACAACATGAAAACATGTTAAAGCTTTGAAAAACTTTTTTCAAGTGGTATATACACAAAAATCAAATACAAATACAGAGAGTATGGTATTGGTATCAGTACCGGTTTCTCATAGTAGAGGTTCAGCGAGTTCCATCTCGTTCGCACTTTCTTGTCCTGACTCAATTCTTCGACCTCCCACAAAATCAATCCCGAGAAGTTGCCATGGCCAACACGCATATCTAGCTCTGTTTGAAGTATTCATATCCCGATGGGTTTCTAATTCTTCAACTTTACGGTTTAGCTCTTGGATTCTTTCCCTCAACTTAGTCGCCCTATTGTCTGCGAGTCTCAGAGACCTCTCTGCTGCATCCCTTGCACCCATGGCTGCAGCAGCCGTCTCTTCCTTAAACTTTAGTTTCTTTTCTGATTCCATAATTGCTTGCTTTGCCTCTTCAAGTTCTTCTTTTAGCACATAAAGCTGAACAAACAAAGCCAATAAGAGTTAAGACTATCATCATTCCTTAGTTTCTAGGAAATGCGTACCTAGAAGAATATCCTTCATTCACTTCACAAAGAACCATCATAGAGAACTACCCTCAGTGCAATTCCTAATCCCAGAACCTAATACCCCAACTCATTCTCCCCTAAACGTCTCTTTAACTTGTTAGCTCTCTAGCTAACTGACTCAACACTAGTTGCTAAGCTTGTCAACATACCTATAAGCCATTACAGACCACCTAGGGTAATTACAAAGCTCCTGGCCTCCTGCACTAGACTAACCCAAAGACTTATCACGCACCTGTGATGTGAAGTCTTGTTCAACAGCTCCACCAGCAGCAGCCTCCTGCTCAGCTGCTACTTTCCATCTTGTTATTTCTTCTTCAGCAGCAGCAATGTCAGTCATAAGCCCTTCAACCTATTATCCCAAGGAACCAAAATTTAAACAAACTCTTGCGTCAGAGTGTTACATACTTTGTCATATAATGACATATGATGAACGAGATAATCAGCTGTCACAGCAATAGCAAAGCAAAAATTCACTCACGTTTTCGTTTGCAATCCTCTCCTTTTCTTTAAGTTCTTCTATTTGGCGCATTCTCTGGTTAAGCTCCTTTGTCTGAGTGTCCAATTGTTTTCTAAGAGAACTAGTCTCTTCCCTGATAGATATACGCAAAAACAAGTGGTCAGCATAAGTTGCGCCAACAAAAGCAAGAAAATGATCACTACGGACGGCAAACTACACTGGACAACTAGGAGTATCACATTAAAAAAAATGCATTACACAAGAAATGACATAGATGCATTTAAAACAGTTACTTTCATTGGGTTTCATTAAACATCAAGTACGATGTCGCAAGCACATGTGGAAGTTAAGTTCCCAATAGAAAGCTGTTTGGAATCATATTCCTACTATTTAAATTTGATTGAATAATGACACTGCCTCATAGTTCCTTGGCCACCCGATGCTATGAGGTAAAACTAAGCATTTACTTTCCCAGTGAATGTCCTCTTTCAAAATTATAAGATATAAAGACGGAGTTCTGTATTAGAGAGCCTGCCTTGATTCTTCCAATAAGTGCTGCAGTTCGACAATCTCAAGCTGAGATGCCTTGACAATATTCTCCAATGTGCTGGCCTACATTCCAATGTACAGACATCATAAGGTACCCGAACGAATGACATTCATAAAACATAATAGGAACTAAAGGAACACACACCAGGGAGTATATTTCGTTGTCTTCTGTACTATGGTCATCAGTATTATCACTACGAGAGTCCTGAACCTTCCCATCCTTTAAGAGTTTAGCGAATTTAGAATCAGTACCAGCATCCCTCAAACCATTCTCTGCAGCTTGAAACAATTCTCTTTTTTGGGCTGGCTGCTCTCCTATCATCCTTTTGGACAAAGCGCTCCTCAGTAAAGTACCAATATGTTCCTTCTCCTTAACTAATAGACCCAAAGTTTCATTCAAATTCTTCAGTTCATGGCTCTTCTCTTCCACCAAACTCTGTGTTTTCCCAGAAACCACCTTGGTCAGTTCAAAGATGGATTCCATACCTGCTAATGAAGCTCGAATGTTCTCCTCCATCTCTGTCTCTTGAGGCATAAAGAAAGATTCAGACAAATCTGACTGTTCTGAACTATTTCCGTCAACTATCCTTACAACCTCGTAAAGCTGGTCATGAATCCTTGACACAAGATTCAGCTGATCCATCAACAAGGGACGCTGAGCAACCATCTTCAGTTCCATAGTCTTCAACTTCCCATCATACTCATCAACTAACCCTTTCAGCTCCACAACCTCACCTTCCAGCACACTTACCTTCTCTAAATTACCTTTCTCAAGTTCAGCAATCCTCTTCTCTTTCTCACTCACACTCCTCTCTAAATCATCAACAATCGACGCCTTCTCTGCAACCTCTAATCTTAAATTACTGATCGCAGATTCCAGCTGAGAAACTTCAATAGCTATCTCGTAATTCCGTTGGTCCATCTGCTCTCTAGCTTCATTTCTGGACTTGGCAGTCGTATCAATCTGCCTAACAAGCTCTTCCACAATTTCATTAGTACGCTTAATAACTCCATAAGCTACAGAAGCCAGACCTGTGTATTTCTGAGACTTAGGAAGACCTCCATTTGAAAAATTCTTAAAGCTGCTAACTTTACCAGATATCTTCTCAATCCCAGAAACCAACATATGCGAGGAATTCTCAATCTCTGCTTTTAAACCATCTCTAGATCTCACAGCATCATCAAGTTTCTTCGACATCTCATCCTGCTGCTTAATCAAATCATCCTTACCTTTATTAACATTCTCAAGCTCCTTTGTTAGACTCTCCTTCTCCTTCAATGCTTCATCTCTTTCTCTCTTAGACTCGTCACGCTTCTTGATTGCCTCGTGAGCAAGAGATTTTAACCGATTGAAGGAAACCTGAAGCTCCGATTTCGAAGTCTCAGCCGCTTCACGAGCTTTCTTCTCTCGATCTAGCTCCGCGATAAGCTCCGTTATCTTCTCCTCAGATGCTTCTTCCCGGGGAGAATCCTTTAAAACAACAGGCGCTGGTTCATCGGACTCGACATCGCTGAGGACAGCATCGGCGTCCTCATCGGGTCCGTTAGCCATCTCACCGTCGATCAGTGAAGACGATTTAGCCTTCTCTCCGATCTAGATATTTGTAGTTTATAACAGTAGCGTGCAAGGGATTGACGCAATTGCTTCGCCAAGGAGGCACAATTGGAAGGTTGAGAATAAAAACTTCTACCAAATAGCCGTATCTAATCTGATCGTAGAATGGAGAATTCCGAGAGGGGTATTTTGGAGTTAGGTGAAACAAGAGACGATCTTCTACGGCGGAGGAACTTCAAATTCTACGGCGAAGAGGACAGAAGAAAGCAATCTCGTCGAGGTCGGGTTGGTTTTAATTTTAATTAATTTTATTTAGACTTGGTAGGCTTACTTTGTATCTTTTATTTGTTAGGCCCAACTCCGTCAAAAGTTAAGGCCCGTTTCATTTTTCATTTCATTTATGGGAATATTATCAATTTAGGCATTTGTTGGCCCAAAACTTCTGAAAAAGGAACCATTACCTATACTTACATTTATAAGTATTTATAAATTTGGGGTAATGACTATTTTCTCCTTGTCTCTCTTCCTCAGTTTTCTCTCCACCACCAACACCATCTTTGAGGTCTGAGAACAACAATTGCTTCTCACCGTCTCTCTTTTCCGACCACAACCATTGCTTCTCACCGACGTGTTCGCTCTGTCTCCGTCTCTTTCTCCTTCAAATCCATCAACGTACGTCTCCTTTAGATTCTCTGACTCACGATATGTCTTCGCCACTAATACGATATCTTCCGATTAGCCCAATGAATTCAATTAATCAAGTCTTGAATAAAGGAAACTAAACCCTATGGGGATAGTGTGTTTAGTAAACCCAAGGGCTCCAATAATAGAGATT